GTTGGTGCTGCTGCTCCTGCTGCTCCTGATGCTCCTGCTGCTGCTGATGCTGCTGCTGCTCCTGGTGCTGCTGCTCCTGGTGCTGCTGCTGCCTCGCCGCCTCCTCGTGCTGCTCCTGCTGCAGAGGAAGGCGGAGGGCGGGTGTTTCGGTCAGCAGCAGCAGTTGCTGCTGGAGCTGTCTGACGGCTTTGCTGCTGTGGAGACCGACGTGCGTATGCGCCGGGTCCCCTTGCTGCTGCTGCTGGTGCTGCTGGTGCTGCTGCTGCTGGTCCCGGGGCGTTTGCTGCTGCTCCTGTTGCTGCCCCTGTCGTTGCTGCAAACCCTACGCCCTCCTCTCCTGCTGCTGCTGCAGCGGCGTTTGCTGCTCTTGGCGCCCGCTGACTTGCTGCTGCTGCTGCTGCTGCTGCTGCTCCAGCTGCTGCTGCACCTTCACCAGCCGGAGGCCTGTCGTCCGTGGCAACGGGTGGCCTGTTTGCTGCTTCTGCCGCTGTTGTTGCTGTTGCTGCTGCTGCTGCTGCTGCTGCTGCTGCTGCTGCTCCGCTTCTATTGGCCGCTGGCCGCCTTCGTGCTCCTGTCTGCTGGGGTGTATAGGCAGCTGTGTTTTGTGTGTTGGGAGGCGAAGACAATACTTCTCCTTCGGATTCATCTCCTCTTTCCTGCTGCAGCTCCAATGCACCAGAAGGCCCAGCAGCAGCAGCACGAGCAGCAGGAGCAGCAGGTGCTGCAGCAGCAGCTGCTGCTGCTGAGGGCGAAGCAGCAGCTGTACGGGAGGAGCCGTTCCCTCGCCGCGAGGAGACAGCCGAATTGCGTGGCTTTTGCTGTTGCTGCACTTCTGTTTCTTCTTTGTCTTCTTCTCTGCTTCCTTTATCATCATCATCATCATCATCTGCTGCTGCTGCTGCTGCTCTTTCTTCGTCGGGCTCTTCTTCTTCTATCGCTGCTTCTTCGTCTTCTTCTGCTTCTTCTGCTTCTTCTGCTTCTTCTTCTGGTGCTTCTTCGTCTGCTGCTGCTGCTGCATTTGGTTCTGCTGCTGCTGCTGCTGCATTTGCTTCTCCTGCTGCTGCTGCTGGAGGCCGGCTTGACCCTCCTTCTGTCGATTCTTCTTCGGCCTCACTCTCATCCCACAAGTAATGGGGACTGTGTGGCTGCTGAGATGATCTCCTGCTGCTGCTGCTGCTGCTGCTGCTGCTGCTGATGCTGCTGTTGCGGTGGGCCGTAGACTCCTCTGTGGCTTCAGGGAGAATCCCCCCTCCTTCTGGTGAAGCAAAAGGAGAAGAAGAGCCTTGCTGCGACTCGTTTGGTTGTGCTGCTGTGCTGCTGCTGCTGCTGCTGCTGCTGCTGCTGCTGCTTCTCCCCCTGTCGCTGCTGCTGTTGCTGTTGCTGCTGCCGCTGCTGCTGCTGCTGCTGCTTCTCCTGTCGCTGATGCTGTTGCTGTTGCTGTTGCTGTTGCTGTTGCTGCTGTTGCTGCTGTTGATGCTGCTGCTTCTCCTCCTGTCGCTGCCGTTGCTGCTGTTGCTGTTGCTGCTGCTGCTGCTGCTGCGGTTTGCGAGGAGGTCTTGCTCAGGTTCATTAGAATTTGATGTGGGGTTTTATTCTGTCTGCTGCATTTTCTGATATCTCTGTCTCTCTTTGTTCGTCTTCATGCATCAAGCCGCCACCAGAGGGAGGAAGAGGGCCTAGCTGCTCCTCCTCCTCGCTGCTGCTGCTGCTGCTTCTGCTGCTGCTGCTGCTGCTGCTTCCGCTGCTGCTGCTTCCGCTGCTGCTGCTGCTGCTGCTTCCGCTGCTTCCGCTGCTGCTGCTGCTACTGCTTCCGCTGCTGCTGCTGGTTCTGCTGTTGCTGCTGCTGCTGCTGCTGAGGTGTTGCTGCTGCGCGTGCTGATTGGGGGCTGTATCGACAGCTTCCCTTTCTTGAGTTGGAGATACAGCCGATTGAATCTCCTGCAGAATGCCGCCTCCCCAACCCCAATCATCATCTTCTGCTGCTGCTGCTGCTTCCTGCCGCTGCTGCTGCTGCTGTTGCTGTTGCTGCTGCTGCTGCTGCTGCTGCTGTTCTGATTCGTCTAAGAGAGAAAGCATATTGTTGCTGCTGCTTCTGCTGCTGCTTCTGCTGCTGCGCTCTTCAGAGGAGATATCCTCAACCCGAGACAACTCTCGTTCAACGCCCCAACCCTCTCCCTGATGCTGCTGCTGCTGCTGCTGCTGCTGCTGCTCTGTTTCGTCTAAGACAGGAAGCAAATTGTTGCTACTGCTGCTGCTGCTGCTTCTGGTGCTGTTCTCTCCATAGGACATACCCTCAATCCGAGACAACTCCTGCTCAACTCCCCAACCCTCTTCCTGCTGCTGCTGCTGCTGCTGCTGCTGCTGGTTGCTGCCGCTGCCTTGGCGGGCTGTAAGCTGCTGCTCTGCTGCGGTGTTGTCTGCTTCTCTAACTTGCTGCCTGCCTGCAGACTGAGGCTTCACATCTTCTTGTACAGACACCTCAGGAGACTGCAGCATTAGAAGTGCTGCTTCTTCCCTTCCTTCCTCGCTGCTGCTGCTTCCGTTGTTGTCATTGTTGTTGTTATTGCTGCTGCTGCTGCTGCTGCTGCTGCTGTGGGGTAAGGTGTCGCTGCCGATGTGGCTGCTGTTGGGACTTCTCTCTAGTTCTGCTTCCTGAGAGAGCACCGACAACAGCTGCTGCTGCTGCTGTTGCTGTTGCTGCTGCTGCTGCTGCTGGTGGGCAACGCTGGAGCTGTCTGGTTCCTGTGGAGCTTCTTGCCAGGGTTCCTGCTGCTGCTGCTGCTGCTGCTGCTGCTGCTGCCTCCGCCGCCGCTGCCGCCGCTGCTGCTGCTGCGGTTGCTGCTGCTGCCGCCCCAACGAGGGTTCCTCTTGCTGCACTTCAGTGTACATTTGTTGCTGCTGTTCTGGGGGGTGCCGCTGCAGTATATCCTGCTGCTGCTGCGGCTGCTGCTGCAGTATCTCCTGCTGCTGCAGTATACCCTGCTGCTCCTGCGGCTGCTGCTGCAGTATCTGCTGCTGCTGCAATATCTCCTGCTGCTGCACTTGCTGCATCTGCTGCTGCAACGGCTGCTGCTGCACTGCGTCGTCCGCAGGCTCAGAGCTTCGGTCTGCTAACAGCAGCAGCGAGGACTGCTGCTCTTCTGAGGGCCGCTGCCGCAGCCATTGCTGCGTGTTTGCCTGTTGCTGCTGCTGCTGCTGCTGCGGCTGCTGCATTTGGTGGAGCAGCTCTCCCTCGCTATCTGTCTGCTGCTGCAGTGCATATCGCAGCTGCTCCTCTTGCTGCAGCAGAAGCTCTTGCTGCAGCAGAAGCTCTTGCTGCTGCTCGATTTCCTGCTCAGCCATTGCTGCGTGTTTGCCTGTTGCTGCTGCTGCTGCTGCTGCGGCTGCTGCATTTGGTGGACCAGCTCTCCCTCGCTATCTGTCTGCTGCTGCAGTGCATATCGCTGCTGCTCCTCTTGCTGCAGCAGAAGCTCTTGCTGCAGCAGAAGCTCTTGCTGCTGCTCGATTTCCTGCTCCTGTTGCTGCTGCGGGGTTACGTGCTGCTGTTGCTGCTGCAGGGAATCCTGCTGCATGTGCTGCTGGCGGGCGGCCGGGCTGTTCTGCTGTTGCGGCAGGTGCTGCTGCAGCAACAGCTGCTGCTGCTGCTCGGGGTTTTGCTGCAGCAGGGCTTGCTGCTGCTCCATTGGTGCTGGAAGCAGCCAGGGCTGTTGCTGTTGCGGCTGCAGCTCCTGCGGGCCTGTTTGCTGTAGCAGCAATTGTTGCTGCTGCAGCGGACGCTGCTGTTGTAGAAGCTGCTGTTGCTGCTGCTCTGGATCGTGCTGCAGCAGCAGCTGCTGCTCTGGGTCGTGCTGCAGCAGCAGCTGCTGCTCTGAGCTGCCCTCCAGTAGTGCCTGCTGGTGCGTCTGTGTCAGCCGCTGTTGCTGCTGCGGCTGCAGCAGCTGCTGCCGCTCGCCCCTGTGAATGGGTAGTTGTAGCGGTTGTACGATTTGCTGCAGCAGGTGCTGGTTTGTGTCTGCTGCTGCATTACTAAAAGCTACATCTAAGGGTCTATGTGTTGCTGCTGCATTACTAAAGGCTGCATCTAAGGGTCTATGTGTTGCTGCTGCTGGCAGCTGCAGCAGCAGAGACGGCCTCAGGGGCCCCTGTGTGTGCTGCAGCGGCAGCAGCAAATTGCTGCTCCTTCTGCCTGCATAAAAGGAAGGAGACGACGCCACAGAGAGGCCCTCTACAACAGGATAGCGGTTGCTGCTGCTGCTGCTGCTGCTGATATTGCTGCTGCTGCTGCTTGGCCTGCCGATATTGTTGATATTGCTGCTGCTGCTGCCGCTGGTGATACTACTGCTGCTGCTGCTGCTGCTGGTGAAGGTGTATGT